TTGTCTGATACAAGTACGGCAACCCTGGCCTTTTTCTCTTGCCCATTTGCTTGGAATATTTTTTTCCATCCCTTTACTTTCAATCTGTGTAGGTCTCTTGCTCTGAGGTGGGTCTCTTGTAGGCAGCATATGTGTGGGGGTATGTTTTCTTATCCATTCCGCTACCCTGTGTCTTTTGATTGGGGCATTCAGTCCATTCACATTGAGAGATATTACTGATAGAAACTTACTCATCTTTTCTCTTTGTACCTGTGTTCCTCTCTGTCTCATTCTTTTCCTTCATCTGCTTAAACCAATCCCCTTAGCATATCGTGGAGTCTGGTTTGGTAGAGATGTATTCTTTTAGTCTTGTCTTGTGCGGGAAATTCCGTATTTCCCCTTCTATTTTAATGGAGAGCCTAGCTGGGTAGAGCAGCCTTGGCTGTAGGCTCTTGCTTTTCATGGCTTGGAATATTTGTTGCCATTCCCTTCTGGCTTGCAGTGTTTCTGTTGAGAAGTCAGCTCCTAGGCATATCGGGGCCCCCTTGTATGTTACTTTCTCTTTCTCCCTTGCTGCTTTGAAGATTCTCTCTTTGTCTTTGACATTTGCCATTTTAATGATGATGTGTCTTGGAGTGGTCCTCTTTGAGCCCCTCTTGAGTGGGGTCCTCTGTGCCTCCTGGATCCATGAGACCCTTTCTCTCCTCAAATTAGGGAAATTTTCCATCATTGCTCTTTCGAGGAGGTTCTCTATCCCTTGCTCCTCTTCTTCTCCTTCTGGTATCCCTATTATACGGATATTACTGCGTTTCGGGTTGTCCTGCATTTCCCTAAATGCCTCTTTGTTTTTTTTTGAGGCTTTTTTCCATTTCTTGTTCTTTCTGGGAGCTTCTTTCTAACTTATCCTCCATGTCACTGATTCGATCCTGGGCTTCATCCAGCCTGCTTTGGATTCCTTCTACTCTGTTCTCCAATTCAGAAATGGTATTCTTCATATCCTCTTGTGCCTTCTTGAGTTTTTATGTCCTTTTCCAGGCTGATAAAGTTTGCTGTAAGATCCTGATAGTTTCTCTGCAGTTTCTCATAGTTATCTTTGAGCTGGCTGAGCTCATTGAGCTTCCTTAGAACCGTTGTTTTGAGTTCAGTATCTGATAGTTCCCTTGCCTCTATTTCATTTAGCTCTCTCTGTGGGGAGTCCCTTTTTCCACTCATTTGTGGGGAACTTCGTTTTCTTCCCATTTTTGTTTCTGTTAAGTATTTTTTTCCTTTACTTTTCTTTCTGAGCCTGCCTCTGATGATGGCAGTTGTTGACCCTATATGACCTTGGGTTGTTTGTTTGAGCCTTCCAGGAGTCTACTGTCTGTGTCTGACTCCTGCTTGGGGCAGCTCTGTGACCCCTTCGGTCAGGGCTGGGCTATTTTTTGGGATCTCTCTGCACTCTCACGCTGGCTCCTTGAGCGAGCTCTCGGCGCGGCAGTATCCCCTGCCTGCCTGGGCTCACATGTGCTTGCCCCAGACCAGGGGGCTTATTTGCCACCTCGCATACTCATCTGGCCCCCTTGACCAGCGAGCTCCCCGGCACTGGTCAGTTTAGGGTCTTCTCTTGTGTGTTTTCCCCGCTTTTGGCTGTTTGGGTGCGTTGCTTGCCCTCGCCAAATGGGGACTATGGAAATGGGAGGAAGTCAGCTCCGGGACTCTCCAGTTAATCCTGTCTCTGGTCTCTCCTCCAGGGGCTCTGGGCAGCTCTGTGACCCCTATGACTGTGGATCTACTAATTTTGTGGGCCGCTCCGCAATCGCGGGCTGGTGGGTCAATTTACGCTTGCCCTTGCAGCTCTGTGCACTCCCTCGCAGACCTTATGCGTGCCAATCTGTGGGAGGCCTTGCCGGCCAGTGCAACCGTTCACCAGCCTGCGCAGGTCACACACACGCTTGCCAACCCGCGCCGGTCACTCAGCGCAAGTGTGCGCTCCTGCTCTGGGTGTTTTGGGGGTGTCTCTGTGTGCTTTTTGGCTTTTGGCTCTTTGGAGGTGTGGCCTCTTCCCGCGCAATGGAGACTACGGCAAGGAGAAGGAGCCGGGACTCCCCGGTTCCTCCTCCCGTTCTTTCTCCAATGCCACCATTTCCAGACTCTCCTCAGGGGCCTCCGGACAGTTCCGTGACTCCTTTAGCCAAGGATCCACCCCCTGTGCGGCCTGCGTTTCAATAGCAGGCAGTCTGGTTCATGAGCGCCCCACTTCTGCCTCTTTGGGGTTGTGCCTTTCCAGCCCACAGTGGAGACAACAGAATGGGGAGGGAGTCGGGACTCCCTGGTTCCTCCTCCCGTTCTTTCCCCAATGCCTCCATCTCCAGTCTCTCCTCAAGGCTCTCCCAGCCAGTCTGCTCTCAGCTCCGCAGCTCACTTGTGTACAAGCTGTGTGCAGAGCGCACAAAAGGCAGGTTAATTGATTCCCTTATGCCTGAGCGAGATGGTAGCTGCAGAGTGGGAGGTGCGTTATCCCCCAGGCTCCACCGGCTGCCCTGTCAGTTCTCTTCACAAAGTTTTCTTCACCAGTCTTTTCCCAGGCACCAGCCCACCCTGCTGCCGCCTCTACCGAGAGATCAGGGAGGGTGGTTGCCACTGCAATTTTTGCGTTGGCCCTTTAAATGTCTCTTTGCATCCCCAGCCACCTGTCTCTGGCAGAGAGCGCCCCTAAGCTTTTCGGGGTTGCGTTTTGTCTGTATTTTCTTGGTTTTAGCTGCTGTAGTTTAGGGGTCCCTGTTTATGACTCAGACCCCGTTCTTCTCGGGGGAACCTAACTGGCCGTTTCAATGTCCCTCTGGTGCTAGTGCCCGTGGGCACCCAGCCCATCCTCTCGAGCCTCCACAGCACTTCTCACCCGTTGGGATGTGTGAGAGTTGAATCCACTGTAGGCGGCTCCAAGGCTCCTCTCCCACTATCGTTCCATTGTTTTCCAGGTGATTACTCCACTATTTAGTCGCAATTCCAGTTTGGTCTTGGGAGGTCAGCGTGACTCCCATTCACTCCTCCGCCATCTTCTCTCTCCCAGGAGTAACATTTTTTAAAAGAGTATAGGATATACTCTGCCATATACGCGTATTATGTAATATTGCTGGATCATCCTTTAATTAGGCAAGTGATGAATGGTTATAAAAAAGGCAGAAAACTGATTTTAGAAAACATTTAATCTAGGGATCCTCAGTCTTTTTGTGAGATGGTTATAAATTCGACCTAAAATAGGGAAAGGATATGAAAGTCACTTTGGAACTCTTCTACGTAAGTCTTCAAGGTTTGCTCGTTTGGGCTCCAATACAATTCTAGCCCTCTATTTAAGAATGATCAAATTAGGGCCTAATAAATTACTTATCAAAGTTGAAAAATATATTATTAGATAGAGTCCATTTAGGTACCTTTTAGACCTTGGTTTAACCCATCCATGCACTAAGGTGAAAGGTGATTCTTATCGAAGTTTAGCAATAATTTAAAGTAACTGTTCAAAGCAGCCTTTCTGGATGCCAATATTACATATTAAACATAAGATTTGTAATATGACCCACCTAAATCCAGTTTCAAGTACTCACCATGTAATAGCTTTGCAGATTACTTAATCTCTCTGAATATGAATGTTTCTTCAACTTTAAAATGGTAATAAATAATATTTTTGGAGATTTTTGTGAAGATTAAACAAAGTTATATATGTATCATATTTGACATATGTGGCATTTGAGAAATTGTAGATACTGTATTACCTATATTATTTTCAAGATAGCTGTTTGAAATTTTAGGAAATTCTTTCCAACTTTGCCACGTAAGTAGACAAAGCAGGATTTTAGCCAAAGTTTAAGAATTTTCAATCTAAAGGAAATTTAAAAAAGCATTCTGCTTTTTTACTACGTAATATTGCTTATCTCTGAAATGAAAAGATTCGAGTAAATCTGTAGAGACCTGGAGGGAACTAACACTTTACGGAACATGTAACCACTAGTTTAGTACCATACTGGCTGTGTCACCTTGGTAAGCTACTTAACCACTCTTCGCCTCACTTGCCACATCTGTAAAGTGGAGTTACTAATTCTACCTACTATGAGGATTAAATAAGTTTATATATGAAAGCAATTAGAAATGTAGTTATAACAAATATATTAAGCACTATTATATAAATTTGAACTTGTAGTAGGAGCAATAGTCATAGTAATAATAATAATATCAGCAGCATTGCTAAATATTCATATAAATTGCGATTTTTTTCTTATAACTTCCTTTATAAGTGAGGATAGCCACATTTTATAAATGAGGGAACTTTGTCTCAGAGGGGTTGACCACTATCACAAAGTTGGTACACAGCAGTTGCGATTTCAGTGCAGATTCATCTGGATTTCAAAGCCTGTACTTTCACTGTTAACTGTCATACAGCCATCTAGTTTTCCTTTGATTCCTGGGATTTCAGAAAGGGAATTAGTGATGACCCAGCTAAAACCTTCCCTCTACTGAGAGCGATAGCCAAGGCCATGCAGTTAGTGAAGCTATATCTTCAAAGGGAAAATTATACTAACCCATTTATTTGAGTTGAAATTTCTTGCAACAGACTTTCATGAATTGAATATTACTTTTTAAAGTGTCTAGATAATAAAGGGATTAGCTAACTTTTTACCACATCTCACACGCTTAACATGTTATTTAACTGTGATTTGTAGGCATTTAACACCACATTTTTGAGGGTACTATCAATTTTAAACTTTAAAAAACTTGAAACTTTTCAGAATGATTAATTTAAATATTTCATATGAAGCATGTATACATATTTTGAGTTTATGTTCCATCAAGATGTTAATGAATTCATAATGGTTTATCCTTAGTTTTAACTCCTCTTGTTTTCAGTTTTAAAATAATTATTTGGATTTTAATCTTTTGACTTAGCTCTCTACAGCTTCTAATTATTTTTCTAATCATGCAAGTAGCAATTTAAGAAATAAATTATTACTAGTCAATACTTTTTCGCTGCCACATCTTTCTCTCTCTAGAGCTAACATCAAACCTCGAAATTCCACACCACCTAGTTTGGCACGAAACCCTGCCTCAGGTGTTCTTACAACCAAAAGAAAAACATATGGTGAGAGCTACATAGTCAGGTATGTTTAGTTCTGATATTTTAATAACAATAATAAAAATGAATATATGTAGTTTCCCAAGGACCATATACAAAAATATGTATCAGGCTTTGATAGAAAATCTGATTTTTTCTTTGTTTCTTATTTAATCTGGCTTTTAATTTGTACACTAAAGAAATAGTTTGGACACAAATAATATTGTCCTCAACTTTGTAGTTAGAATTACAATACTGTTGTAAATGTTCACGAATAGTTTATTCAGTTCCATTAGATTAATATGTGTTTTTTATGTCTTTGTTTTTAATGACACATTGAATAATAGACTCTTTAAACCACTGCTATTGTCATTTTCAGCACCATTTTCATACATTTAAACTCCCTTGGTGAGGTTGTGATTATTCATGTACTTCTCTTTCTAAACTCTCACAATATTTGTATAACTTTGACATCCACTCTGTTTTTAAGCATATAATGAAATTGTCCCAGTTATAGATATTTTTTACATATATCTCAACTTAGTTTTAAGGCACGGTGCATAAATTCATGATGTACAGTGAGATATAATAATTTTTTAAATGAAAGTATTACAGAGGAACAATAAGAATTAACAGTGAAAAAAGGAATGAAGTTAGTCCATAAAATGTTCCAGAAAGTTTTATGGCAAAGTACCATAAGAGCAAGGTACTTAGTTCTCAGGAAAGAAGGGATATAAATGTAAAGGAAGCTAGAGGTCATATTGGTAAATTAACCCTGATACTGCAGCTCCATTGACATTTTGACTGATCTTCACCACTTAGAGGCTTGGGTTTTAATGTCATTATGGGAGGGAGGAGTTGACTTCTAGGACTTACACAAAGTGTAATAGTAGAGACTCAGCTTTCTTTTCCCTCCCTGTATGCCTCTTATCTAAGCCAGAACTTTTAAAATGCCCACTAAGGAGAATCTCAGGCTCAGCTAGAGCTGCTTACATGAAAATATGTTCACTTGGCATTCGAATAAATTACAGGAAATAAGGAATGATAGCAAGACAGCTTTAGGTGTTTCTCTGACCCAGTGACCCAAGTGACAGCTGAGATGTGAACAAGATCTCATATATGGGTGTACAGACAGTTTAATTAGACATTCTGTGTCCCCAAAGGAACAACATTTCTTGTAACAATCCCATATCCATGGATTCCAGGTTTTCAGTGGGTGATGTGTAAGCCCTGTTAACTGGGAAAACAGTTGGCATTTCATTCCATCTTTATTAGGTTTTCATTAAGCAGCCAGGAAGTTATTTCAAGATCAAATATGTCCACTGAAAATAAGAAAGTTCTGTTGTTAACCTTTCCTTACGATACTCAAAGGATAGATAGGGGGAAAAACAATTTCACCAACTAGAAAGAGGAGATCCCAAGGAAACTTGTCTGGCTCAGCCATGGTTCAGAGGAATGAGAGAGTTCCCACTGATTTTTCATAATCCTAGGCTTACCTTCACATGAGTTTAGGGTTTGCAAATACAATAGCAGTGTGTTCTAATAAGTTCTTAACTGGAAATATAGCTTAGTTTGGTTTAGTAGCTGCCTTTGTGGTTCTTACAGGTAAGCAAACATTAGCTCACAGTTCTGACTTAAGAGACACACAGGGAAATTCCAAACTATACAAAGAAACTAACAATCAGCCACCAGTGAAAACAAACAAACAAAAAACATAATTCTTAAGATATTGAAATCATCAAACATTGATTTATAAGTCTGTTTGAAGTATGTAAAGAAAGAAGAAAGGGAATTGGAATCATTAACAATGACAGTATACTGTCACAGAAAGATTTGAACACCTGTGCAAAAGAACCAAACAGAACTAAGACTTAAAAGATTATTTAAATTGTAGATTAGACACAGTGAAAGAAAAGAGAAGTGAACTGGAGGATAGATTTAAAGACATCATTTAGGAACAAATACAATGCTAAAAAAAACTTTTAGAATTTCAGTATTCATAAAGAGGTTTTTGTTTTCTTTTATTTTTCTTAATCTGAACTGGAAGAATATTAAGCATGAGATTAAGCAAGCTTCTATTCATGCATAATATTAGGCCCTGTTTCCAAGCATTATGGAGGGACTGAAAAAAACTAATGTGAACTTTTTTCTGTACTTCAGGTCAGATGGAGACTGTGCATCCACACTCAATGGTGGAAACATTAAAGGCATTGAAGGAAACTCATCTGGACACTTACCAAAATTCTGCCATGAGTGTGGAACTAAATACCCTGTAGAATGGGCAAAGTTCTGCTGTGAATGTGGCATTCGAAGAATGGTTCTGTGAACAAAACCCCAAGTGAGAAAGAGCAAAGTCCAGAGTTTTATGACTATTGCTGCTTCCAGCTAGAGCACTTCCCCTAGTTATTTTGTCCTAAAATTGTTACACTTTTTTTCAGGAATTTTTGGAGCAGAATTCCTCTGTCTGTATAATGTGTTAGGGTGCATGTGTATATATGTGTACATATACTGTATATAATAAATACCTGATACCCCAAACTGTGTCATTCAAGAAAATACTCATATGTTAGAAAACAATTTCAAGCAGAATCATTAACTTAGGTATTATATCCTTCTGTTGTTATTAAAACACATTAAGTATTCTACAGACCCTCAAACTCCAGTGCTTAGTCCTGCAAACTTTAGGGTGATCATTACTTTGAGTAAAAAATTAGAATAAGTGTTTTCTTATTGGTGCCTATTTTCAGATAGTATCTATGATGGTAGGGTAGGATGCTTGGAATTGAAGAGAATATTTTTAGTTAAATTGGGTCATTTTGCTATAGAGCTCTTCAACAACTAATTTTATAAATATTTTTTAGAAAGAATAAAAACCTTAGTTCTGTGTTACCCTTTACTTAGTGTATGATTAGTGATATAATTTAAATATTTTTACTCATTCTCTGAAAATATAATTATGCAGTTTTCTTTCCAGAGACACAGTGCTGAAAATACAAATGTATCTGTTCTTGTTATTATGGAATATTTTACCTTTCTGTTTATTAGTTGAAAGTATATTCTTTTTTACTTCTAGCTGCATCTTCAAATTTCACTTCTTTCTTTTCCATAACTTCATGTATAAAGAGTAGTTTTAATTTACTACTTCATTTTTACCAAGTTAGAAAATGTAATTAATATAAGTTGCAAAAATCTTCATCAAAATCTTTTATGTTTATTTCTATGTATCTGAATGTAGAAGAAATGAATGGATTTTAAAACCAACCACCTTACCTAATAAATAATAAATTTGATAAATAATTAGTAGTGGAGGACATACAGGTAAAAGTTTTGAATTTTAGCCCCTTATAGTTCGATGATGTTATGAGTAGGTTAAGAGAATATCTAATTTTTCCTACTTAAATTTTCTTTTCAGTTTTTCATGTTGAAATTCCATTCACATCACAATAAAAAGCCACAAAATGCATTGCTTTACTACATATCTGAAATACATAATTAAACATTCACAAAAAAATGTAATTATACTCTTTAACTTTGGCTAAAATACAGCATTTAATTATTTCACATTCAATATAACAGTATTTAATAGCATGTCTCTGCTTGTGTAACCATACTGAGTAGTAATTTCTGTTGAGTCAAACATAACAACTCTGTATTAATATAAAGGTACAGACATCTTCGCAATTTCTAGCTTTTTTATGATTCTGTTTAACTGTAAGGATTAATGTAGAAATTTGTGGCTGACAATTTTCTTTGAAATTCATTTATGCTTATATTTTATAATTTTATTCATTTTTTCCCATCTAGGCAAGAAATAGGAACTTAATGTATTTGGAATTCTAATTTTATTTACATTATAGTTTCTATCCTGACTTTATTAACTTGCTTCTGGTTGTCTTTATTTAGTTGTATTGATCAAAAAAGAGTTCACCAACTAGAATAAGCTGTAATATAGGAAGATCATGTGCAATTAGATTTCCATTTCAATAATTTATATTCTTCACTCCTGATGTTATAAATCATATGAAGAACTTCAACTCTTGCTTTATCTAGAGCTGGGCTCTGTTTCCTTTCAAGTAAATTTTATTGAATTTATTGGGGTGACATTAGTTAATAAAACTGTATTTTTCAGGTGTATAAGTCTATAATACATCATCTGTTTATTGTATTTTGTGTTTATCACCCCAAGTCAAGTCTCCCTCCATCACCATTTATCCCCTCCCTTTACCCTTTTCCACTCCCCCCTCCGCCCGCCACCTTCCTTTACCTCTGGTAACACCATGCCGTTGTCTGTATTTATGAAGTGTCTTTTTCTCTTAATCCCGTCACCTTTTCACCCAGCTCCCAACCTCGTGACTTCTGACTGTTGTCAGTCTGTTCTCTGAGTCTGTTTCTATTTTATTTTGTTCATTAGATTCCACATGTGAGTGGCATCATATGGTACCAACTTTTTGTCTGCCCGAGTAGAAAAATGAGCCCAAATAAAGTAGTACATGTTTGTTTTTGCACTGAATTTTATAGTAGCGAGTAAATGTTATATTGTTCCACATGGAAAATAAATTTGTAAGATATCATCCAGTCCCAGAGCACAAAGATTATTATAAGCAGTAATTGAAATATATTCATGAATTATGAAATATATTATGACAATGTATTTAAATGCATTTTTACATTATTTGCGTATATCGTTCTCACACTTGTTCAATAGTTCAGGTTTTAAGAAATTTTTCTAGATCTATGCATCATTTATTTTTTATTTTTTCTAGTTTTTTCCAGTGTGGTAGAGTTTAAGAGATTGTAAGCTTAAATTAAAATGTAAAAATTGCTTATATATTATCCTGAAAGTTATTAGCTTGAAAAAGCAAGATTATTATAACTGCTGTTGTCTCCTGTTCCATGTTTTTTTTTTAATTACAAATAAGTTTTCACTTTTGAACATATTCAATAAAGACATGAAGCAAAAAATTACCCATTGGTTTTCATTGATGTCATATTTTAGCAAAACATAGGTAGGAAGATAGGAAAAAACTGGACTATAAAGAAAATGTTTGAAAATAAAGATTTAAAATGAAATTGCCTTTTAATTGGGAGGCTTTGTGTGTGTGTGTGTGATCAGCTGTAAGAGAAATTACTATTTTATTGAAGTGTTTTTGACCTCAAAGTGTGGTAAATATGTTTTGTCACAGATTTTCCAGGCATAGAAACATAGTCTTCATAGCCAATAAAATGGAGCAATTGAAAACAGTGAAGTCAAGTTTGGTAAGAAACATGGGTATTTCTAATTAGATAATACACAGTTTAATGGCAAAAAGTATTCACTTGTGATGAATACTTAATGATTGAGACTATCATGTTTAAAATTTTAAACAGCAGTTATCTCTAGTGAAAATATCAGGTTAGCCATTTAATTTGTACTCACTGCTTCTTAGGCTAGAAGTGAACACTGCTATCATGAGTGCCAGAAGCCAATGGGAGTGCCCAGCCTTTTGTATGCTAATGTCGACCATATTTGCCTTTGTCCCTCTCCCAGTGCCATGTCCTGCAAGGGGGCAAAGTCTACAGTCCTGCGTGGGTCTCATCCCAGGGCAGGACATTTGGCCCCCACAGCTCCCACAGGTGCTACGCAGCCTGTTTTCAGCAGCCTGTTTTCAGAAGCTGTGTTGAATGTTTACAGTAGCCCCAAGGTATAGGAAGGCTGTCAAGGCCCAGGTCCTTTTTGTTTGTTTTGTTTTTTTGTTTTTTCCCCTGTTGCCGCCTCTCTGCCCCTTTCTGCTGGCTGCACTGTTCTGTTACCAGAGCAACACATCTTGGCTTGTTTACAGTTGCCTCTGGCAATCTCGCTTCTCCAGTGGCGGCTCCTTTGCATGGAGGGCAAACCTCTTCTGGACAACCCCTACCTGTTCCCCAGTGGTTTGGCCTGACCACCCTGTTACAGAAGTACACAGCTACAAAGAAAAGAGCTCTTGTGTTATTTGTGTTGCAGGTATAGGTATTTTATATGGTAAATATATATTTAGTAATGAAATAGGTTGAATTTTCCAACTGACTATATTATTGAAAGAACAGTGGAGAATCATTAAAATTAAGTTAGTGATAGCTACACTCATTTTTAGTCTCATTTAAATTTTTTTTCAGTTAAATGTTATGATCATGATACTCATTGATTACACATAAAAGTGTGTTATGTGAATTGCTTTTTGCCACTAGGGGGTGTTTTGGGATAATATTACCAGCCCTATAATTGTTTTAAAAGTCCTCTCAGCAATATAGGTATGATTTTTCTTTTAAACATGAAATTAGAGATTTATAAGAGGTAGGTTGTTTTAGTTTTGTTGTGATTTTACAACCCATATGTTGGTTCTTAGAAATCTAGCCAAGCTCATTTTGGGCACCAATGTGTTTATTATAATTGATAAATATTTAATATTTATCTCAGAGTATTTTGTTATCAATTATACATCTCTCACATATTACTCATGCACATTAACAAATATTCCCTGTTCTATTACATTAGTATTTCATTTTAGTGGTACAACAATTATAATCTTTTAACATAAGACTTTTCTTCAATCATCTAGCCTGACTTGACATCAATATGTGAGAGTGACATCTATTTAAGCAGAAGTTGAATAAATCGCTTAGACTAATTAGTGCTAACATGCATGAAGCTAAAGCTTTATATTTATAAACATTTTAAATATCCTATCTATGGTCTTCATTGTATGAAGTCTTAAAAATCAAGAATAATAATATGTAATTAGGTTTTTGCCCTAAAGTTGATATATTCAAAAACTTTTTTGAAGCTGATGTGTAAACAATGACAACTTAGGACAAAAAGGATTTATTTTAACAGAACTTTATTATAAAGGTACGAAGAAAATGATGCAGAAGTGTTGAAAATGGAGCTTATCACCGGTTACACAGCAGACCATTCCTTATTTTCTATTTTTCTTCCCTGTCCCAATGCTCAGGAGGAAACCGGGGGCATATGAGTAAGAGCTGCATTACCTTTTAGAGGAAAAAGCTAGTGGCCGTGGAAATGATGATGTATGTGCTGTGGGTCCGCCCGAGCTGTAAAATGTGGGCTACTTCCATTGTGCAGATGACCAAGAAAAAGCAATGTCAAGTGAAAGTTGCTGATACTTTCCTCCATTCAATCTTATCTCACATAACTCTTCACTTTTACTTTCCTTTCTTTCTCTCTTTGTCCAAGCGCCTCAGTTTCTATTCAATTTTGAATTTGCAACAATTAGGCTGGGAATAGGAGGAGGATGCTGGTAGTGCTGAGTACACTCAAAGGTGAAATGATTTGATTCATCGAATCAGCAATCTTAAATTATAATAAAACCGCAAATTGCCATGGGGCATGATGATGAAAGATCTACTGATAGTAGAAATATAAATAGATACATTTTTATAAGTTGACTAAATTTACTTTAAAAGCCTTTAAAATATGCCTCATAAACTAGTAATTTTACTTATAAGATGTACTTCTTGAGGGAATAATCAAGTATGGAAAAATATTTATGTAAAACACATTTAATAGTACTGGTATTGGTCTCATACATTCTTGGTAATAAGGTATTAAAGGTTATATATTCAATAAAAAAACAAATAATGGGGCAATATTAAAAATAATATCTTAAAAAATCCTGTCAGGTCACTAGTCATTAGGGAAGTGCAAATTTAAACCATGAAAATATATCACCGCATGCCTGTTAGAATGTCCATTATCAAAAAGACAAGAGGTAACAAATACTGGTTAGGATGTGGAGGAAAAGGAACACTTGTGCTCTGTTGGTGTTGAATATACTTTGGTTCAGCCACTACAGAGGAGCCTTAAAAAATTAAAAACAAGTATCATATGATGCAGAAATTCCACTTTTAGAAATATGTCCAAAAGAAACAGAAACAGTAACTCCAAAAGATAACTGCACCCCCTATCATAGTAGTATTATTTGCAATAGCCAAAGCAAGGAAAAAAATCTAAGTGTTCATTGATGAATAGATGAAGTTGTGAAAATATATATGTATATGTGTGTGTGTGTGTGTGTGTGTGTGTATCCAGAAGGTATCCAGCCATGTAATATGAGAAAGAGACATTTATTGAAGAGAAATGATACAAGAAACATTGTACATAGGACAATAACAGCTCAGTCCCCTTCAAAGTAGGCACCTTGGGACCTCATACAGTTCCAGTTGCCATCAGCTTCCCCATCATATTTCCCTGAATCTCATTGATAGTCTGAAATCTCTTCCCTTTCAAAGGTGATACTAGCTTTGGGAAAAACCAGGAATTGTAGTGTGCCAAATGTGGACTGTAGGGTGATTTGATGTTTTGTGAAAAAACTCTACATAAGACATGATGCATGAGCACGTACATCGTTGTGATGAAACAGCCAATCACCAGTTACCCACAGCTGCAGCCTTCTGAATCATCTGAATAGTTTCCATGGAGGAATGTTCAAGCTTAATACAAAATTTGATGAAGATTTGTTGCTCTACTCTCTGTCATTTTTAATGTGATGGCCACACAGTACACATGCTCACTCAATGGCATCTACCGCCCACACTGACCAGTACAGTGAAGTCATCATTGTGCACACACGTGCATTCCAGTCCCTTCTCCTTGGCTACCAGGTTACATCAATGTCACACAAACTGTTCTCATATTAACAATGGCTGGGCTTTTTCTGGACAGAATATATATAATTTAGCCATAAAAATGAGGAAATCTTACCATCTGTGACAACATGTATAGATTTTGAAAGCATTAGGTTAAGTAAAATAAATCAAAGACAAATACTGTATGATCTCATATGTGAAAACTAAAAAAGAAAAGCTCATAGAGAAAGAGATCAGACTGGTTACTAGACACAGAGGGTAAGCAGAGGTGGTAATTGGAAGCTGGTGGTCAAAAGGTACAAGCTTCCAGTTACCAGATAACTAAGTACGAAGGCTATAATGTACAAGATGATGAATATAGCTAACACTGCTATATGTTACATACAAAAGTTGTTGAGAGTAAATCCTGTATGTTCTCATCACAGAGGAAAAAATATTTTTCCTTTTTTTATTATATGAGAAGATGGATGTTAGCTGAACCTACTGTGGTAATCGTGTCACAATATACGTAAATCAAACCATCATGCCCTATGCCTTAAACGTATATAATGATGTATGTCAATTATTTCCCAATAAAACTGGGAAAAAATATCCTGTTGAGATTAAGTGAATCTGACAGTGTTAATACACAGGTTATTTATTAACAAAGGAGAAATGTTGTCCAAAGTAAACAATTTGTTTGTAATACTGTATGAAAATAGTTTAATATACAGATATAGTGTCAAAATTAAATATACACATTCCATTAATTAAAAGGCAAACATATATTATTCTTTTAAAAATATACTTCCCAAATTGCAAACTCATTTAGACGTTTTATTTATTACACATAAATGACAGAAGAAACTCAGTACGATGGTTTAGCATCCTTAGAACAGATGATTTCCTATTTTGTGAAATTATTCTTTATTTTCATTTTAAAACATTTGCTATGCCATTTACTAGAGGCACTGTGCAATACATTCATGTTTAATTACATGTCTTGATATCTTTCTTAAGCATCTTGGTGCTCCTTAGTGTTGCTTTAAGATAAACGACTTGTTCTCTTGGGCATTATCTATAGCTCACTGTTAACTCTGAAACACTTTGAACGCAGATGACAATTTCCACACTTACTGCAGTATACTGATGCATAGGAGGCCATAAAATATTTTAGTAATAAAGCAATGTTAATTGTGAATTCTTGTAACCTTTATACATGTCACAAATTTTACATTTCTTCTGAAATTTTTTAACATCTAAAAAAGTAATATTTTAGTTAATACCTTACCTTGATCATCTTACACAAATCAGCACAAAATTAACACCAGCTGATCTATGTCCCTATACATATAAAATAGTTCATTGATTGCAGCATTCAGTTTTCATTGTTTAAGTCCATCTTCTAGTACCACAGTATGTATTTCTCAACTGCTCTAGCCCATTCTTACCAGGATGTACTCAGTAATGTCTAGGAGGCATTCTTCCCCGAAAAATTGATCGATTCTTGAAGTATGCAACTAAACTTCACACATTTTCATATTGTCACGCCATACTTTCAATGTTCTTTAGTGCCTCTCAAAATTTTATTCCAACAAGTTTTTATCTTTTCTAGCAGTATATTTAGGAAACACATTTCATCCTGTTTTTTCTGTTCCCTTAAAGATTTTTTTTCTTCCTACAAAAATACATAAAAAAAAGTTTTAACTTCATACACACACACACACACACACACACACACCTTTTAAAATATTCAATCTTTAATTCTCATCATGTTAGGTTCTACTGAAAATTTGGCATCATGGAAAAGGAGAATCATGTACGATATTTTTAAACTATGATTGCTAATTCTAGTTGTGGTCGTGGTTTAAGATTTAGAATTCATTAAAGAGTTATTATGTTGGGTGGCAGCAACAGTGGGACAAGAATGTTGTTTCAACTTTTATGAGAACAACATTTGTTAATTACTAAAAAAGTTTTGTAATATGGAAAAAATATATTTTTTTTGTGGAAGGGATAGTTAACACTGAAAATATGCAGAGTATTTTGGCAAAGATTATTAATTAGATCTATCTGATTGAGCTTGTGCCCTAAGGTCCACCACAAGAGTCTGATCTTGACTAGAGTATGGAGGATACCTGCCTCATCTCCTGGTGAAAACCTTAAAGAGTGTTATTTATCTATACAACCTATAGAAAATGGAGAAAGAGATAACTCACATGGAAGAGACATACAGAGGAATAGCATTGCCCATACTCAATTATACTCCTGAGAGCACCTGGGAAGTGGGACTGGCACAGGGCAGGGGAATTCTTCATTGAGATAATATCCAATTATTATGTGTTTTCTAGGTGGGGTATTGTGCTCAGTGCTTCACATACATTATTTCATTTTTAGCTACTTCTCTAGGGCATTGCTGATTTTGCCCCCTTTCACAGATAAGAAAACTGAGCTGCAGAGAGGATAAATAAGCTGTCATGGTCACATGTCAAGTTAAGTATAATGACTGGGTCTTGAGCTCAGCTGTTCTATTTTAAGTCACAAGTTCCAATCTCTTTTAGGTATTTATTTATTAACACATTAACATTTGGCCTTTAAATAATCCATTTAAAAGATTAGACAACAGATTTTAAAGGCAAATAGGAAGAAGAATTTCTCATAGACTTCTTAATGAGGATCCCAGGACATATTTAAAAAGTACAAATTGAGGTTTATGTGACTAAGCAGATTTGAAATACATAGACGTGAAAATTTCATGATTTTTCCTCAGAGACCAAGATTGAACATTCATTAAAAAGACAAAAACAAAGAACCATGATTTTATTTCGGTAACCCTGAGAACACAGATGTCATCTCCCTTTTTTAACTTTCTTTCCAAATTTTTTTCTTTTTTCATTCTCATGTTCTTTATTTTTCTCTTTCTTTTCTTTTTTTTATTAAATTCATTGATGTGGCATTGGTTAACAGGATCATATAGGCTTCAAGTGTACATTTCTATGATACATGATCTGTATATTGCATTGTGTGCCCACCACTCAAATGTTTGTAGAAGCCCTCATTGTATTTATATTGCTTGTGTATTCATTTCAACTCTGCCACTTTGGGTGGAATTCCTAGGTTTCCTGAGTCCCAGGGTGAGCTAGCTCACCCTGCTTCTCTAAGACCAATAAGAAATTTCATGTTCCCATGTATTTATTGGTCAAGTGACCATAATAAACAGCAAAAATATGAAAGAAAAACTCACCACTCTTATGAACCAGGTGTGTTTATTTTTACATGTCCTTTCCTAGTTATTTATATCATTAATATTTAATCATATTTAATTATCACAAGTTTTTCATTCATAAATACTTTATATTGTTATATAATATACAATATTTACTGGTATAAATATTTAATATAAATATATGATATATAAACAGAATATTCATATATATGTATGTTGTATATTCTATACTGATAAAATAGGTATAAAATGGGTTATTCATTTTTAATTTATATTTCTTTAACAACAAACAAGAATGGCTTTTTTTCTCACATGCTTATTTTCTAGCTTATATTCTCCTATATAGTTTGTTCATGTCTTTTGCTTATTACCTAGACATTTTTAGTTTTGTTGCTTTTTAAAAAATCAATGCTTTATGCTAAGTGAAATAAGGCAGGGGGTGAAAGACAAATACCATATGAGCTCACCTATAAGTGGAACCTAACCAACAAAACAAACAAGCAAGGAACATATAACCAGCAACACTGAAAGAAAAAAAGAAACCAACAGAGTCAAGAGGGAAGGGGGATGGGCAGGGGAAGGGAAGGGAAGGGTCAAGTCAAGAAACATGTATAAAGGACACATGGACAGGACCAGGGTGGGGAGGGATTGAGGGAGAGAGGTGGGGGAGGGGCGCAGGGGAAAGTGGTAGTGGGAAGGTGGAGACAAATGTATTTGAACAAAAAATAAAAATTAAAAAAAAAAATCAATGTTTTTATAGTTCCCCTAGCTTCTTTTATTTTAAAATAGTGGGTATTTTTTTAAAGAAAGAGTTTAAAGGACTCCAATTTCTAAGAAGTATCTTCTTACTCCTTTTATTAACATTATAATGAATATTATCAAAACCAACCATAAAAAAGAAAATCAAAGAGAAAATGAAGTAATTAAGGTAAGTAAAAAGCTAATGAAGAAGAAATTATACAATTATTCTCACCAAATTCTTAGTGGGTTGGGCTTCACCCAGGGAAGGTTGTTTTTTTTCTTTATCCTTAAAAACAAAATTACATTTACAACATTGAATATCATTTTCTATTGTTTCTCCCATTAATGTAATTGCTAATTTTCATGTATTATTCTCAACTCATTTAATCTTTTTGAGGATTTACTTTAAATTATTTATTGTTAGTATGGCAGAATACTAATTTCATTTAGAAATAGAATACAGGCATACCTTGTTTTATTTTGCTTTGTTTTATTGTGTTTCACAGACATTGCTTTATTTACAAATAGAAGATTTGTGGCAACCTGGCACTGAGCCAGTCTACTGGTGCCATTTTTCTGACATTAGTTCGCTTCATGTCTCTGTGTCACATTTTGGTAATTCTCTCAATATTTAAAACTTTGCCATTATTATTATATTTGTTATAATATATCTGTGATGATCTGTGATCAGCGATCTTTCATGTTACTATTGCAATTGTTTTGGGGTTCCACAAACTACACCCATATAAGATGGTGAACTTAACTGATAAATGTTGTGTATGTTCTCACTGCTCCAGATCAGCCAATCCTGTGTCTCACTCCCTTTCCTTGGGCCTCCCGATTTCCTGTGACACAATAATACTGATTTAGGCCAATTAATAACCCAACAATGGCCTCTAAGTGTTAAGTGAAAGGAAAAGTTGCACTTCTCTCACTTTAAGTTGAAAGATACACATGGGTAAGCTTACTGAGGAAGGCATGTTGAAAGCCATGATGGGTTGAAAGCTAGTCCTCTTACACCAAAGTTAGCCATGTTGTGAAAGCAAAGGAAACATCCTTAAAGGAAATTTAAAAGAAACATCCTTAAAGGAAAGTGCTGCTACAGGGAATACATAAATGGTTAGAAAGCAAAACAGCCTTATTGCTCTTACGGAGAAAGATTTTGTGGCTTGAATAGATCAAACAAGCCACAAAATCTCTTTAAGCCAAAGCCTAATCATGAGCAAGACCCTAACTCTTCAATTCTATGAAGTCTGAGAGAGGTGAAAAGGCAGCAGAAGGGAAGTTTGAAGCTAGGAGAATTTGGTTCATAAGGTTTAAAGAAAGAAGTCCTCGCCATAACATGTAAGTACAAAGTGAAGCAGCACGTTCTTACGTAAAAGCTGTAGCAAGTTATCCAGAAGATTTAGCCCAGATGATGAAGGTACCTACACTGAACAACAGATTTTCAATGTAGATGCAATAGCCTTATATTGGAATATACCATCTAGGACTTTCATTTCTAGAGAGGAGAAGTCAATGCCTGGCTTCAGAGCTTCAAAGGACAGGATGACTTTCTTATCAGGGCTTAATGCACCTGGAGACTTTAAGTTGAAGCCAAGGCTCAATTTCCATTCTGAAAATCCAAGGTCCCTTAAGAATTATGCTAAATCTGCTCTGCTTGACTATATAAATGGATTAGGAAAAAAAGCCTGGATGACAGCACATCTGTTTACAACATGGTTTGCTGAATATTTTAAGCCCATTGTTAAGACTTACTGCTCAGGAAAAAAAAAATTCCTTTTAAAATATTACTGCTCATTGACAATGTACCTAGTCACTCAAGAGCTCTGATGGAGCTGGACAACAAGATTAATGTTGATTTCATATCTGTTAACACAACATGCATTCTTCAGTCCATGGTACAAGGAGTAATTTCAGCTTGCAAGTCTTACTCTTTTAAGAAATACGTGTCAAAAGGGTATGGGTTCATAGATAGTGATTCTTCTGATGAATCTAGAGAAAAGAAATTGAAAACCTGGAAGGGATTTACCATTCCAGAGGCCAGTAAGAATATTTGTTACATGGGAACAGGTCAAAATATCAACATTAACAGGAGTTTGGAAGTTGTTGGTGCCAACCCTCATGGATGAATTTGAGGAGTTCAATATTTCAGAGGACAAAGTAACTGCAGATGTGGTAGAAATGGCAATAGAACTAGAATTTGAAGGAGATCTTGAAATTGTGACTGAGGTACTGCAATCTTATAATGAAACTTTAATGAATGAGGAGTTGCTTCATATGGATAAGTAATAATGAAATCTACCCCTGGTGAAGATGCTGTGAAGATACAGAAATGTCAACAAAGGATTTATAATATTACACAAACTTAGTTGATAAAGCAAATTTTGAAAAGATTGATTCCAATTTTGAAAGCAGCTTTACTGTGGGTAAATGCTATCAAACAACATCACATACAACAGAGGAATGATTCATAAAAGGAAGAGTCAATCGATGTGGCAAACACCATTGTTGTCTTATTTTAAGAAATTGCCTCAGCCACCCCAGCCTCCAATAACCACACCCTGATCAGTCAGGAGCTGTCAACATCAAGGCAAGAACCTCCACCAGCCAAAAGATTATGACTCACTGAAGGTTCAGAAAATATTAGCATTTTTTAGCAATAAAGTGTTTTTAAATTACAGTATGTACATTTTTAGGCATAATGCCATTGGACTTTTAATAGTCTGCCGTATAGTGTAAATAAAACTTTCATATACACTAGAAAAAATGAAAATAATTGTGTGACTCGCTTTATTGTGGCAGTCTCAAACCAAACCCACTACCTCCAAGGTATGCCTGTATGAGGGAAAAGGAAGAAGCAAGAGAAGTTAGTCTTCCGAATACCCTGGATCCACAAGTTTGCAGGTATGCCCAGCACTGTGTTAAGGGCGGTGAGGTATGAAAAACTAACATAGAAGGGTATAGTAACAGGCAAAGCTAGAATTTTAATCAACATGAAAATAATCATATTGTTATATCCTAACCATAAATTTTATTATGCTTTAACCATCAGAAGTAAATGAAATAAACAATTGTAAGGGCTTGTAGCAGGCCTGACTCATGAAGAGAATTCAATGTCGCTGACCACATTTAACATCTTACCTTATTATTTTAAGAAAAAAATGGACTATATGAGGTTAGTTTTGTAACATAATTTTGTTTTCAATAATAAATTATTGGCATTTTCCTTTTTGACAATTAGTTGGTTTTGGAACACAGTAATCCATGCAAAGCTAAATGCATGAGAGAAGGAATTGCAAATATATAACATACCCATAATCCTTACCCCTTCTTTGTCAAGGGGTTATTATTAGTTTGTTCTACAGTTTTTCAGTTGAGCCCTGACTTGAGGCTGTACTCAACCCAGTGTTTCCAAGAGTCACTACCAAGCAATTGGATGTGTAAACAACAGAGAAGCTATTGGCCATTCCTGCATTACAGGGTAGTTTGAAATCACTATGAGTAAGGATTAAGAGCTGGTAGGCAAGACTATGAAGTCTTCATGAATCTTGAGCTTGGCCTTGAAGGATGTAGAAAACAGGACAGATCAGATTTATAGAAAAGAAAAGAGTAGAAATAACACATAAGGAACTAATATAAGTAAGGGGACAAAATGGGAAGTAGCCTTGGCAAATCCAAAGAGGAGACTGACTAGCACCGTGCAGACAATGCATGATAAATGAGCTGGCTTGATCTACATCATCTTTATCATCAGTGTCAGTAATGCTCAAAAACAGCCTCACCATTTTACCTTCTGTGGGCAACCACTAGAATTAAAAAAATAACACACAACCCTTTTTCTATCATAATTTTTTTGTTTTCTAAAAACTAATCATAAGAAATCTTTAAGAAGTTTTAGAGGTAAAAGTTTACCTGTCCCCACCTAACTTATCTCACTAGCATCCTTGAAAGTTATTATGGCAGTGAAGCATGCATTTTACTCCCCTTTTAAAATCTACTGATTTGCCCTAGCCAAGAGATGAATAGGTATTTTCCAAGTTGAGATTTTCCTCTTCGAGTTGAGTAAATATATTATTAACTTTAAGTTATAATAAGCACTTAGAATTCCATGATAATGGATCATTGGAGAATGATAACATCCTACCATGGGAGTAGTTAATAGTATTGTTCAAAGTAAACAGTCCTCAGCTTACCTTCCGGGTGCAGTTCAACAGTTTTAATGTGCCCTGTGAAACTACAGATAAGTGGTGCTTGAAATCTTCATGGATATTCATTTTAACAAATTGCTTCAACTTGCGAGCAGCAGTTTTTAAAAATGTAGCTTCCTATTACAGAGAAAAAAAAACAGAAGGGCTGTGATTCAAATAAAATATTAAGAAATGATAAGCATTCTTAAGGATCCTCAAGTGAAAACCCTATTTCTAAATAATGCCTTACCTCCATCCAGATTTCTATTCCAGTTAATCATGTGACTGACAAGTCATTAGACTGACACTGCTGAGCTCTCAGGTGACAGCCTGAAGTGCTTAGAACTTGGTTTAATGATTAGCTGACTTTTGAAACTCTCTTCCTCTGTTACATATTTGTGATCTTACCACTTATGGGTGAACACATAACAAATTTAATTTTAAACAAAATAATGAAAAGGGGAATGATCTGGAAGCGACAACAATGAAGGGTATGTGTGGCTTTTCTTACTGTTATGTTCGCACCTTTTAGCTATAAATGAGTAGCTGGTAATAGGACAATAAAGGGTCATACTCATCTAAAACAAGTTTTTTCAGACATTTAATGTAATTATAGAAATTAAAAAATAATTTTTAGATATGAACTATTAAATGCCATGAGATTAACTCACTATTATGAGTTTTAAAGAAAGACTGTTGAATAGCACATTGGCTTTTTTTGAAAGAAACCACACCAATTTTTGTAAATGTATCATTATACCAACCAGAAGTGGTAGTGATGTGAAGATTAGCAAATACTGAAAAAATTTTCTAAATGCCTACAACTAAACTATGCCCATAACTGATGTTCATGTGTGTGCAATCAATCACTCTAACAAGATTTTTAGTGCATAAAGATTTTAGAAATAACAGATACATGTCTTTGAATTCAGCAATTCTTCTAGCATTTTATAAGTGAAAAAGTAAATGTTAGAATAAAAAATATCAAATCAACACAGGAGGCTATAGTATGACTTAATATATCAGTGGGAATTGTCTGGTTAGAATCAAAGGAATGCATTGTTAATATAATCAATATAACTAACAAAAATACAAAAAAAAAATAAGCTTCTATGAAGTTAAGTTTGAATGAGATATAAACTACAAATAATTGTCATACCTTATCATCATCACATGAATGCCTTTTTAAAAAGTTAGGTTCATTATTAAGGCAATTACTAGCATTTTCTCTTATGCGTTCCTGTAATAAATAATATAAAATTAAATGATTAAAATGGGGAATTTTCTAATATGTGGTAATTATAAAAGTAACAATGAATTAAAATGGGGAATTTTCTAATATGTGGTAATTATAAAAGTAACAATGAACTTGGTAACTATATGTACATTTTAAGGAAAACAATTTTAGCTTGGTTTAGCTGACAAGGCATGAAGAATAGTTATCTACAGTTGAATAATAATCAAGTATATACACAAAGCCTCACAGGCTTAGAGTTCCCTCCAGGCTCCACATTTAACCCCAGAAATCACTGAAAGAATCTGGCTCATTTGGTAAAATAAAAGTACCTATTTCAAAAGTTATACTATATGTACAGAAAAATGCACTTAAGAGGTTATTTGGTGCAATTTTTTGTCACTATCAAACAGTAACAAAGCACAATTCACATTAGAATGAAGGGAAACCTCTTGAGAGTAAGAGTAAAGTTGAAAGTCATTCTGCAGCAATTTTTAACATTCCAGTTTGGAAAGTCTGAGGTAGAAATTTGCAAAAAAAAAATGGAATGGAGCATGTGTGTATTGTAACATAGGAGTGGGAAGGCAGACTGGTACACTCTCATACTTCATTTCCAAGGAATGTATTGTTTGAAGGTGCGGGTTGCCTGAATCAAGAATTTAATTGACATATTAAGGAGAATTTCCCAGGGATTTAGCTTCTCTGATGAACAGGTTGGACTAGGTCTGTCTGGCGAACTGGCAAGTCCATGCAGTCAGAGCTTCCAGGACTACAAGCCGTCTTAGTCTGTATTCTGTCAGCAAAAAAATAGGATAAGAAGTGGAGTAATGAGGATGGAGTCATGGGTTTTTTATCTTCCTTCATTTGACTCTCAGAAAATGCATTGCTCTTGCCACCTGTGAAAAACATAGGTGGTTTCTGGTCATCCTGACCCTAAATGAATATACTACCTGTTTTTCTTGCAGGAATTAGTGTCTGAAAACATTCACTTAACCATTCAACACTTACTATGGGCCAATGTGCAAGGTCCTCTACCAAACCCTATGGGGAAACAAGATAAGAAAACACTGTCCCAGTTTCTTGTGCCTTTTGATATAAAGGGTGGATGCTATATGCATTAGGCATTTTTATATCACTTTCTATCTTTGTATCATTTTATTTTTGTAAAAGTGTGTTTTTGGAAACAGCTTTGTTAGTGGCAACCACCCCAGCCATACTGCAGACATCTCTAGTGCAAACATATGTTCTTTATTACTATCCCCCAGGTTGCCCTTATACATGTTCCTGAAAAGGTCGTGGAGAATTAGTATTTGTCCATTAAGTTATTTTCTTATTGACTTCCATTTAACCCCAAACAGGAGAATAAATCACACATGTATTTCTCTTTGATAAAATATGTATTCATTTTTTTGTTATGCTATCCTTCTAAAAAAATAGACAAAGCTGGAGAAATCTCTGATATTCTCCAATTTGCCAAAAATATTGTATGAAAATATGTCACAGAATTAGAACAAATTTTGGGGGGCATTTTAACACACTACATAACTCATTAATATTTGAAAAGCCATACTGGTTAAACCACTGCTCTGGTATTTAATAATACTCATTTTAGGCAGATACAGAAAGGTAATGTTATACCAGCTGATCCATTTGCCAAGTGTTTTCTACAGTATATAAAGGCGATATTTTCTTGAAAGATTGACTTCTATACAAGTCACAATTATAATTGACTAGTTGACTTCAGTGCATTTTATGAATAAATTAAATATAAGTGTACACCTATACAGTTACATTTGCTTTCTAAAATTGTTTTCATATAAGCCCTATAAGGAGAATGACACAGACTAAGATTTACACTATCATGGAGTTGGAAAGAAGCTGCTACAAAGTCTGGCGCCAATAACACCCCCTTTTTATTACAAAATTATAAGCACATAATTCTATAACATAACTATCACACTCAAGCACATCATATGACATTTTAGGTGAAATGTTCAAATTAAAATTATAAATTATTACACCCATACTATTACCCTACCAACCACACTCAAGCAGGTCTTCCTTCTGCCAGGCCCTGTATATATAGCTTTTGATCTAACAGAGTAGAATTACTTTGCCAATAATAGTTTCTTACGTCATTTTAACATATTTGAAGATTACTTCGTATCTTTTAGGAATATGGAAAATCACAAGAGAAAAGCCAAGATCACACTGACTGAGAACTGAATTTTTTTCCAGTGTAAAATATTACTTTATATCATCTTTCATAAAACATGTCCTTTTACTTTTTAGAAGTACATAATTTTTATTTCAACAGTTTTATTCTATCTTTGATTTTTTTCTGTTGAAGTCTCTCCTTCAGAAACACTAATTATGTATATAATGTATTATTTATTTTACTTTTCCTGTTATATATTTGTCTTTTTTAAAATTTTGTGTGGTTTTTCTCCATCATGCCTTCCATATTCCTGTTCTAATAGGGCACTCATTTCTGGTTTTTGTTTTATTCTCCATTTCCCCCCTCAATGTCTAGAGAACTCACTTTTATTCTTTTTATCTGATATTATACTATTTTTAGCTCTTTTTAATTTGGCTTCTTAGTGTTAAGAAGAAAATTTTTGACATTTTCTACTGCTTTCATGGATAATTAATCTGTGGCTTGAATTCTTTATTTTCCTTACGTATTCATTTGATTATTTATGTGTTCATTCATTTGTTCATTTATTTTTGTAGTATCAGTACATAGTGCTTCTTTCTTGATTTTATGGTTATTTTGTGAAGGGATGCTATAATAGATTAGATTATTGTTCAGCCATATGAGCATAAATAGAAATCCTCTTAAATGATCTCCATTTAACTAATTTGCTGGGTTGATCAATTCTCTCTATTCCTTCTATAAAAATATATTGACTAATGGCCACAGCACACTAGACACTCTGAATTATAGCCTTGTATCTTTTTTGTATATTTTATTAATTTTCCTATTAAAGTTGTCACATTTTTTTCTCCCCTAGATCTTCCCTGCCCTGCACCCCTACTCCCTCCAGCATCCATGAGTCATATGTATAAGTTCTTTGGCTTCTCCATTTCCTATATTATTCCTAATCCTGCCCCATTTATTTTGTGCCTACCAATTATGCTTCTTATTCCCTGTACCTTTTTCCCCCATTCTCCTCCCTCCCCTTCTGCACTGATAACCCTCTGTGTGATCTCCATTTCTGTGATTCTGTTCTTGTTCTAGTTGTTTTCTTAGTTTGCTTTTGTTTTGTTTTTTAGGTTCAGTTGTTGATAGTTGTGAGTTTGCTGTCATTTTACTGTTCATAGTTTTGATCTTCTTTTTTTAGGTAAATCTCTTTAACATTTTATATAATGAGGGCTTAGATGATGAACTCCTTTAACTTGACCTTATATGGAAGCACTTTATCTGCCCTTCCATTCTAAATGATAGCTTTGCTGGATAGAGTAATCTAGGTTATAGGTACTTGCTTTTCATGACTTTGAATACTTATTTCCAGCCCCTTCTCGCCTGTAAGGTTTCTTTTGAGAAATCAGCTGATAGTTTTATGGGAACTCCTTTGTAAGTAACTGCCTCTTTTTCTTTGGTTGCTTTTAAGAATCTCCTCATTTTTAATCTTAAGTAATTTATTTATGATGTGTCTTGGTTTGCATCTCTTTGGATCCAATTTCTTTGGGACTCTCTGAGCTTCCCGGACTTGCATGTCTAGTTCCTTCACCAGATTGGGGAAGTTATCCTTCATTATTTTTTCAAATTCTTGCTCTTCTCCTTCTCCTTCTGCTACCCTATGATTCAGATGTTGGAACGTTTAAAGTTGTCCCCGATGTTCCTAACCCTCTCCTCATTTTTTTAAATTCTTGTTTCTTCATTCTCTTCTGATTGAATGTTTTTTATTCCATCTATTCCAAATCTTTGATTTGAGTCCTGGTTTCTTTCCCTTTACTGTTGGTTCCCTGTATATTTTTCTTTATTTCACTTTGCATAGCCTTCACATCTTCCTTTATTTTGCAACCATACTCAATCTTTTCTGTGAGGATCCTGATTACCAGTGTTTTAAACTCTGCATCTGATAGGTTGTCTATCACTGCATTGCTTAGTTCTTTTTCTGGAGTTTTGATCTTTTTCTAATATACTCATGTATTTTTATGCTCATGATTTGAATCACATGAAGTCAATTCCATAACACTGTTATACTATTTTATATATCAGTTAATAATTCTACATAAACCAGATAAATATTAGTATGAAGACAGAGTTTTGGGGGGACTTCTGGTTTCCAATCTGACAGGTAAGAAGCTTAGCAGTTGCCTTTCCGTTATAACAAGTCAAAAGTTAAACAGACTGAAGAATCAGCAACTCTTCTTATATGCATCAGAGTAATACAGTCATAGGGCAAACTGCTGCCCCAAATGTTGGAAAGACAGACAAGTGGATAAAATAATCACAATTTACAGGAGCTGAAAGCTCTATGGGAAACAGCACTGGGGTAGGGAAACCTCAACTGTTATTGATGAATTGTTGGAGTCTCAGAGTGGACAAGTCTGAGAGCTAAAAACTCAAGAAAACCTCATCATTTGGGGTGAGAAGCATGATTTTCTAGGTTTTACCTATATGTGTTCTATAAATTTCTCCCAGTGAATATCTGAAAAAAATCCCTTTGTGCTTCTGGCAGAGGGAGGGGAAAGGAACCATTCTGAATATGCTAGAGCCTGATGTTATTCACAAGGCTCACCACCAGGAGAAACTAGTTAAGCAGAAACTAACCTACATCTAAGGTACGGAAAATACTCAACTCAGCCCCTCTAGATATTCTGTCTTACCTCAAGGTGGAGGATACTGAGTAGCACTAGTCAATTGTACAGCCCAGAGGCACAAACTCATCAAAAGACTGACCCCTAATCACAGGACTATCCACTGCTTCCCTTCTCCCCATACCTGCCACTACATCACTACCACGCATATTTCTGCCCAGTACATCTTGTCCACATTT